AGAATATCATTCCACATAATAAGATGGCTTCGAGAATATGATTAAACTGTTGTAAAATTGGTATGCAACTATGACATGAAGAATAGTACATTCCGTGCAATAAATTTTACTTAATATTCAATGCATAATGCAAGCTTTTATAATTTTCTCAGACTCGTAGGGGTTGTTAAGTGTTTAAAACATTTCTGGGGCATAAAAAACCTGTAAAACTTAATAGTCAGAGCCTAACTCATCGATTGGTATGTAAGGTAGATTGGTATGTAAGATTATTTAGAACACAAATTCTTAAAGTGCTGCAGCTGGTCAGACGAAAGAAATCCAGGGTGCTTATTCTAATACTTAAAACATCGGGAATTGTTTATAATAGTGCTTCGAAAGGCACACGTGCCTGAAAAAACTTCCCCCGAAACAATGAGTCAAATGATTGCCCCAATCCTAGCGCCAAAAAGAATCACCTTTTCGGATGACGAACTATCCGTCGAAGGGCGCAATCATGTCCAGCCTCTCAACATCCCTGTCCGATGCAATGAATATAAGGTCCCTTTGGTCTTAATTGACAACGGATCAGGCCTAAACGCTTGCGAACGTAATAGCTGAGTTGAGTCTTCTAGTCTAGTCATCTCTTCGCCAAGAAGGAGAACTAATAACATAGATACAATCTATAATAGATTGCCTACTCCCCTAAACAACTCAAACAAAGGCAAGGACTAGTCCTCCTCAACATCTCGTAGCACATAAACAAGACTCCATAACGGAAGATCATTACCTTCTTCCGGGATCGAGCGATGGCTATAAGTAGTAGCGGCGAACACTCATGCTCTATGGCCATTTTCTTAAGATTATTTAGAACACAAATTCTTAAAGTGCTGCAGCTGGTCAGACGAAAGAAATCCAGGGTACTTATTCTAATACTTAAAAAAACAGAACAGGGACTATTCAATAAAAAACAAAGGATTGAGTGCACTCCTAGAGACATAGAAACCTAATTTCCAATTTGAAAAACGCTTAAAGCTGCAGGAAGATCAAACGAGAAGCCGTCGATGTGTGAAAAGAAAACATTTACACTGTCCACTATTACAAAAGAATTGACTGCCGATAAATAATAAAAGATAATAAGAGTACAACAGATCTACAATGACATGGAAAAAAAGCAACGGAAGAAGAATAACTAGATTAACAAGTTGAATAATCATGGCATCTAGGTTTTTTGCCAAGCCCAATCTTTCTTTAAAAAAATCACAAGCTCTACAGAGCTATTAAAGAAAATTATTCCGTATTCCGTTCCGGTTATAATCATCAAACCAGATCCAAGGCTAATCAATAAGGGAATCGGAAAGTTTCAGAAGGTTAGTAAAATACATAGCAATCCAACAATCCGAACCAAGAATTAAGGGAAAATGCAAGAAAATGATCAAACACAAAAACCACAGTACCGAAGGCATAAAAAATGAAATCAAATCAACACAATCGCACAATAAATCAAGTTGATTTACTTGTATCAACGAAAGAAAATGGAGAAAACAAGATTTGGGAGATTACCTTGTTAGATGAAAAGAAAACTCGGAAGAGATTGAAGAAGACGCGAGGCTTCTAGATGCCGTGTGACAAGGAACTCTGTGAGAGGAGACAGACAAGATGCTCAATACACATACACACACGTATCAATTTATATATATATATATGGCAGCCTTAAGAGAACCGGGAGAAGGAAGACGAGCTCTTTTAGGTTTTAGGGCAAACTCAGCTTCGGAAATTTTAAATAAATTATTTTTCTGTTTTCACTAACCGTCCTACTCTAACATATTTGCCCTCTCCTTCTCATTATTTACGATTTTACCCCTGGTCCAGCCAATAGTGGCGCAGATGCAGTTTATTCTTGCTCTTCAATTGCAATTTACTACTATCCCCTTTTATTCAATGAAAATTTATTTTAAATTAAAAAATTGCATTTTAATAAAATTATAAATATATAAACTATTTTAAAGGAAATAATAAAATATTACCGTAACTTTAACCGTACTAACAACAACTATCGAAATAAATATGAATTAAAACTACAAAACTGAAATAATAAAATACAATTTTAACCAAACAATTCAAGAGTCCGTTATTTTTCAAATTTAAGAAAACAATAACAAAATTATTATATTTTTCCCAACAAAAATAACTATATAATTCAAAGTTAGGTGCATATTAATTTAACAGTTAAATTGATTTTTTTTTCAAATGTCAATACCATGTAATAGAACTATTATTATGGTAAAAATATTAATTAAAATAATATTTTAATTCTAAATAAGTTTTATATTTAATTTATATCTTTTTAAATAGATACATAATTATTTTGTAATTAAATAATACATTAAATTATTCAATTATACCGTGCAAAATATAATTAATTTCTATATATAAAATAACTAAAATCTAAACTTAAATGATATAAAGTAGGTTTTAACATTAGTATTAACAAAACTATTTTTAGTTATATATTTAATATAATCAACTCGCCAGTTTAGATTTAATTAAATTAAATATAGAGAATAATTTGTTAAAAAAAATATTAAAAATTGTTACATGTACGGTACTAAATATAATTAAAATAATTCCATCCGTTGTTTTATTGAATTTTATCTTTATTTTTTTAATTTGTTAATAATTATAATAATAATTATATTTATAGTAATAATAAAATTAGTAATAAAACCAAAAATTTAAATTTAAGAACTGAACGAATTATAGTATTTTTAACTATAAAATAAAATTCTGATAATCTTAATATAAGTCATAATTGGCGTGCCTTGCTTGCATGAGAAATCATTAACCCGTGAATAATTGATTCTCAATCATCTTGTAGTTAAATAATTAATGCTAACTATTTATAGAATAATGACACATCCATTATTAATATTATAAACATAATTAATTAATTACAAAATAAATTTAAATGGGTATTTGAAAACAATTAAATAATAATTTAAAAATTCTATAAGCTAATTAGCTAATAATATTCTATTAGTTGGCCCGACCAAACGCATAAAAAATAAAAATATGAAATGAAATTAAGATGGAAGTATGTGGGGAAAAATGGGTTTGGCTTCTTCTTCATATGAAATAATACTTAATTTTCCTATCCATGGTTTCCAAGTAATTTTGGTAGACCAACTCTGACTTGCCATCTCGTTGTTGGTTAAGGCTAGGCCTCTGTTAGTAAAAAAAAAAAAATGAAATTTATTAAATTTTATTTCATTTTTTAAAAATTATCTCAACTAAAAGTTTGAAATTTTGTAAATTAATTTAAAAATTTGCACTGGGTTTGCTTAAAAATTATTTTTAAAAAATTACTTAAAATAATAAAAAGTGACTTATATTAAAAATGAGTAAGTTTAAAGTACATATAATATTAATTGAAAACAATAATGATATTTTTTGTTAATTTATATAAAATAGTATTAATATTAAAAAGATACATTATATTTTGACTGACCTAACAAACATAAATTTGCCCATATTTTTTGTTGATATGTTTGTTAAATTATTAAATGAACATTTAATTAAGTATGGCATAACAACTAAATAAGTTGTAGAAAATTCCAACTTATAATTAATTATAATTAATTAGCAAATAATTAAGAAGAAAAAAAAAAAAGTAGATGAAAATGTGTTGAACTTTGGTTGCTAATTTGTTGTTTTTAATTGATTAATGTTTTTTCCACAATTGAAATTTGACACGTATACCAGTGGAGAAAATAACAAGGAAAAATTACAAGTGACGTGGCGATGACCCATGTTTAAGAAAATAACACACAAGAAAAATAAATAACATTACTTTTTAAAATTAAATTTAATATTATTTTATGTTAACATTTAAATGTTATTTTTTAACATTATGTTATTAGTTTTAAATATTATGTAGCAAAAACATTCTAAAAAAATTAAAAATATTTGACATGTATGTGATACATTATTTATTTTTTACAAAAATTTATTAAAGTAAATTGTGGAAATACTCAACTTAATTAAATATAAAATTTATCCAAATATTTTTTAACACTCTAATTTTTCAATAATTATGTGTCATAATTTTTAAAATAAATAGGCCATGGACATAAATCACACGACAATTGGCGTGACTGGCGTGGACGGTAGTCGCGTCGCGGGGGTCAAAAGAGTACAACACTTCGACCGTCGACTTCCGATTTATAAGCCTTGTATTCATACCCGATCTCTCTTCATCTCTATCTCTTCCCCGGGAAAAAAAAAATGAAGAACCGAAGCGGGCGGAGAATATCTGTGAAGTGGATTCCATTTTTCTGCATCTTTTGCTTCGCTTTTGGTGTTCTCTTCACCAACAGGTTTCTTTCCTTTCTTGTTCCTGTGTTATCTTTAATTCGGGGTCTGTACATCCAGCAATGCGTTGTTCTTTTTTTTTTGTTTTTTTTTTATCTCAAATTTGTTTGATCGCTTGATATTGATGTGTTGGCGGCTGGTGGATTTCGTGGCAGGTTGTGGGTACCGCCTGAATCCAATGAGCAGCTCATGTCACGGCATCGACGTGATCAGGAGCTACAAGTCGTTTCCGATGACTGCAATATCAAGAAAGTACGTTTTATTTTCCAATGTTCTGTTTAAAATTTGCTTAATTTTGGCAAGTATTTGTTTTTGCGCTTTATCGTTTTGGTCTGAACTGTTTATTGTTATTTAATTTCATGAAATGCACCCGAAGCCTGCACAAAACAATGAAGTTCTCGAGCAAGTTCTGAAAACCCATAAAGCAATTCAGTGAGTGTAAAATTCATTTCCTTCTGTATGACACAATCAATTTTGCTTTTTGATTTTTTTTTTTTTTTTGCTAACGTTGGTCTCTGCCATGGATTCTTCGAGGTTTGCCAGATCTCTAGACAAGTCAATTTCGATGCTTCAGATGCAGACGTCAGCTAGGCGGAGTTCTCAGGAGATGGGGAGCTTGGGTGGCTCATCTGCTGCGTCGAACCTGGTTAATGATGGTCCGCCCAGGAAGAAAGTGTTCATGGTCATTGGAATAAACACTGCGTTTAGCAGCAGGAAGCGGCGTGATTCAGTCAGAGAAACGTGGATGCCACAGGGTATGGTAGTTCTGTATTCTGATACCTTTTTCCATACTTTTACGTTGATATTCTTATTGGGGATTTTCTGTCTCAAATGGATTGGTGGGTCCTCTTCAGGGGAAAAGCTTCTGCAATTGGAGCACGAGAAAGGAATTGTCATTAGGTTCATGATTGGACACAGGTAATTGACTTTACTGATCTGTCCCAGTTATCTTTGACTATCATGCAAGTTTTTGTTCTAAAGTGTACAATCAAATTCTTCCAGACTGTATTTTGTCCCTCGGTCAATATATAGCAATATCTCAGATAAAAGAAGATCATTTTTTTTATAAAAAAGATAGTGGTCAGGTTATCTTGTTCAACTCTTTTGTACTGAGACTAAGCTACAATCTAGTAAGGTCAAAGTCAGGTTATCTATACTTAACTAGGGAAATAGAAAGAGTTCCTTATTTTACTCGGGAATTTGGAAAGTCTTGCGGCCTTGCCTCAAAGAATTGAAACTAGATATCGCCTATAAGTCGACACATGTTTATCAACATCCTCATCCCTTGATATTTAGAAAAAAAATATGTTACTTTGGCTATTTTGCAAGAGCAATATCTTGCTGCTACCTTACTGATTTGCAGATTTAAATTGATGTCAAGGGTTGATGTGAATAACTATTATTGGAACTTTTGTGCAAAAGAGTTTCTGTACAATATGTCTGGAGATTTGTTAGCAACAGTTGTCTGCTATTATGTCACCAGCTACGCATATAAAACTTTGCGAGGGCCAATGCAATTCATTCATTAGGAAAGGACATGAATTGATACTAGATTGTCTATGTAATAAGAAGGGTTAATAAAATACATTTGATTTGTTTTTTAATATTTAATTGGACAGCTTCATTTATGTTGTTATAATTTATTCATACTACATGGCCACAGAATCTTATCATATACTTTATACATTTTATTAATCTGGACCAAGTTTGAGTTCTTTATACATTGTAAAAAGAGTTTGAGCTCTAGGGTCAAATTTGCTAGGATGGAAATTGGTACCCTAGGAGCTTTGTTTCTTCCCAGTGCATTATCTTCTTTCTCAATCTCTAGTTCTACACGTATTACCTATGAATAAGCAGTTACTAAGTGCACTAGTAAGTTATAACTTGTAAAAACTGGAAGGATTGAATCCAGTTATAGAATCATAAAGGTCATAAATAGATCTTTGAAGTATATTTTCACAGATAAATGCCAAGCTACTCCCACCTGTCTTGTATCTATTCTGTTGCTTTATGTAAATGAGAACTTATATGACTGATGTCTGCATTGGTTGAACAGTGCAACATCAAATAGCATTTTAGACAGAGCTATTGACTCGGAAGATGCTCTGCACAAGGACTTCCTTAGATTGGTAAGGAAACACATATTGATTACAGCATTCTCTTTAACTTTTTGGGATCTTAAAAGAGGACTACCTTCTATTTGATATTTGTTTCAAAACTGTGTTCTGTTGCAGGAGCACATTGAAGGGTACCATGAATTGTCTGCAAAAACCAAAATTTTCTTTTCCACTGCAGTTGCAAAGTGGGATGCTGAGTTCTATGTCAAGGTGGATGATGATGTCCATGTAAATCTTGGTAGGCAATAGGCATTGCCTTCTTTAATTACCTAAATTTTAATTTGCTTATTGCTACTGTTGTGACCAAAAAAGTAAAAGTAAATAAATTGTCACAACATTGGAGTTAGATTCTTATTTTCTTTCCTTCTCCAGGAATGTTAGCTTCAACCCTTGCCCATCACAGGTCAAAGCCCAGAGTCTACATTGGGTGCATGAAATCTGGACCTGTGCTTTCACAAAAGTAATTCTACTGTTTGAATCTTGTTGGGAACAGTATACTCTGGTTTTTCTGCTGCCATAGGAATGCATTATATATTTCATGCTAACTTTTTCTGCTTTCCAGAACTGTCAAGTACCATGAACCAGAGTACTGGAAATTTGGAGAGGAGGGGAATAAATACTTCCGGCATGCAACTGGGCAGATATATGCGATCTCAAAGGATCTAGCGACATACATCTCCATTAACCAGTAAGAGGTTTCTTTTGAACTGATATCTTTCACTGATAACTTGTTTGCTCCTTTTCTTCTGTCCCTGAGGAGGTGGGCTTTTTGGTTTCTATCTCTATTATCTTGCAACTCATCTTTATCTATCCTGTGATTTGCATTCCTGCGTCAAGCAATGATTTTCTTCTATGTTTTTTTTTCAAAAAAATTATGTAAACCCAAAAATTGAAGCACCATCCATAGTAGCATTGTTCAGGCTCTGGCTTGTTAGTAGTGTAACAATGATGTGAAGTGTGAATATGCATAAATTTATCTTCAAACTCGTGCTTTGAAACTTGCTTTTGCACTTTGCTATTATTGTGAATTGCATTAACAATCAGAACAGTGTTTCCATTTAAACTGAGTTTAACAAGAATGAAAATCAGCACGAACATTTAAAAATTTTCCTTCTTCTAATCCTTAACTATCTGCTCAAACAGATTTTGTTACAGATGCATATATTATTAAATCCTGCAAATATTTTACTGTGTTTATCTTTGTGTTTTGAACTTCTCCACATGAAATATTCTGTGTTTCAAGATGCATCTAAAGCTCTGGGAGGTTCTGATATGACTGCAGGCCCATATTACATAAGTATGCGAATGAAGATGTATCACTTGGATCGTGGTTTATCGGTCTTGAGGTTGAGCACATTGATGACCGGAATATGTGCTGTGGAACTCCACCAGGTAATCCCATTATTAGAAAATAGATTATAAAATGATTGGTAATGAATTTTATAAAAGCATTAAATCTTTTCCGATATTAGAAAATTTTCCTAGCTGCAAACAGAGGAAGAAAATGATGGCTGATGGATTTACCAACAAATATCTTGAAAATTCTTGATTCTAAGTTGTAATGCGGATTAGGTAGGAACTTTAAGACATGGGTCTTTATTGGTGTATTCATAGAGACATGAGAACCGACTCAGTAGTCAGCATGACAGCATTATTACGGTAGGATTTCCGTTTCTAATTTATTGTTTGCTCTCTTATTCTGCAGATTGTGAGTGGAAGGCTCAGGCAGGCAATGTGTGCATTGCATCATTTGATTGGAGTTGCAGTGGAATCTGCAAGTCAGTGGAGAAGATAAAATTTGTTCATGAAAGGTGTAGTGAAGGTGATGGAGCCGTTTGGAGTGCTCTCTTTTAAATAAATTTTAGCAGCAGAACATTTTTTCGACAAACAAGAATATACTCAAACATTCATTTACATTTGCCCAACGAGGAGAGAGGCAGTTCTGATAGTAGAGATAGACAAAGCTGTTCTTGGATTAGAGTATAGATACATGCAACATATTACCTCTGCCACAGTTTGGTGAAGCTCATCCAAGTACTCAACAGGAGAAGGCGTATTTATTATTTATACCTATACAGAAATTCATGGAAATACAAGAGCTTCTTTTTCTTTTTCCTTTTTGTTTTGTGAAATTTATTTATAGATAGAAAAAGTGAGCAAAATTTATAGTTTTGAAAGTCGACTCAATTCCTTCTCGGAATGGAGTTAAAACAAATACGTACTGTAATTTTAAAGCCTTCATTTTTCTTCTTACATCGAGATAATTAGAAGGCGGCTAAGTCTATGCTGCAGGTAGTGGTGTATAAATTGTATAATTTTAGAACTATCAATTATGTATCTTTAAATTACGTTGTGTAGTTTAAAAGAAAAATTGATTCTCTGCTGCAACTCTGTACAATGAGCTGCAGAGAACTTATCATGGTTCCTTTTCAATGTAATAGAAGATAAACACCACATATTCTAAACACAAAATATGGGGGGACAAAATTTTCAAATTATTTAGGAAAAATGATTCTATGTCAATGAATGGTTGATTCAAATTTCTGTTCTTTCTTATTCCAGAATGAAATGTGTTATTAACATAAAATTACATTGTCACAAAAAATTTTCAAAATTCAAGATATACACCTAAAATATTTATAATAAATTTTTTAAACTTCAGTAGTATATTTCCAACTTCAACTATTACTGTTTATCAGGGTAGTATGAGCTTTGCCCGTTTGTGGTCAATAATGGGCTCTAAATTTTGCCATTGATGAACTCGAGATCCTTTATTTATTTCGGCTTCCACATTTTTTGACTTCGAAGAGACAAAAAATAAAAATCAGTTTATTTTAATTTTTAATTTTTTACTTTTTCTCTTGTCTTTATTCAATTCACCGTTCTTCCCCAGCGCCACACCGGCATATTTCTTTCAAGTCACACTGGCACTGTGCTGTTGTTCTCTCTCTTCCTGCATCCGCTTCCCTCACATCAGTCAATCACAGTATAGGTGATCGTTTTTTTCTCATAATCAGACGGTTCTGGTGCGGTCAATGGAGAACAGCGACGTCTTCTTGGGGTTGCACGATTTCCTCGAACGAATGCGCCAGCCTTCCGCTGCTGATTTCGTCAAATCCATCAAAAGGTCTCTCCCTTCCTCGTTCTTTTACTGCTCTAATTTATGGACACGTATTGGTGTAAGTTCCATTTTAATGCGTTAGCTGATGTCTTCGCTGTTTGATATCATCTTCTTCTCTAATGAGATCAAAACAAACCTTACCTTGGACTAGTTTTTTATTCAGACATTTTTCTTTCTTAATTGACAATTAAGTACAAGGAATCTGTAAGCTCTTTCCGTTTTCTGGCCAATTTGAACGCGTTTTAATGCAATTCTCCCAAAAACACAAACCGATTCTCTTTGTTGTTCTTCACAAGTTAAACTAGGATTTGGTGATTTGAGTAGCTAAAGTCTGACGAACTTTTTTTTTTATTCTTCTTTTCCTTTTCTTCCCGTTCTTTCCTTGTAAGTTAAAGTCTGTACTTCGTTGAAAACGTGGAAGTTGTTTTGCGCATGAGTCAAAAGAGTAAGGGCGTGTTTTGCCTCCCTCTAATTTCATGCGCGAAACTTGAATGTTTTACTTTTTAGCACCAATATGCTTAAGGTAATATGTCCGATGGAATTGCCTCAACTGAAGAATATGTCTGGTACAAAACGAGTAGTGGTGGTTGGTGGAAGATGAATACATTTTTAACGATTATATTTTCTTTTGAGATGAAAAACTACGATATCATAGAAGAGTCAACAAGGGGTGCGGCCTATAAAAGGATTATATTAGATTTTGATTCAGATTGGCTGGTTGTTTCTTGGAGCTGTCAACATTATATGCAAGAACTCATATTTGTGGGTGAGGGGGTCAGACAGTGGAATTTCCCACCTCATGTTGGGGATGATACTCTTCTGCTCTTGAAACTGGATAGGGCTGCCATGATCAATATTAGGTGTGTGCTGTTGTATTTCCAAGCTGTTTTAGTTTTGATAGTTAACTGGACAAAATCAGAGTTGGTGCCACTCGACAGTGGATTTTCTTCTGATGAGTACATTGAGATTTCGAGGTGTAAGATTAACAAGGTAGTGGGAAACTGATTCGACTACAGGATGATCTTTAGTATGAGGATAGACCTATTGAAGGAGACGTTGCCATCTATATATTCTGTTGCGAGGTTCAAGGAAGGAAGCTTTGCAGAGTGGCTTGAGGTGTACATTGGTGAGACTCGTTGGAGCATCCCTCTCCTTGATAACCTCAATGATCAAGGGGTTAATTGCTTTGTGGTCTGAATGGAGTCTAATTCTGTTCAGCTATTCTATGAGGATATTCTTGTCTGGAAACTTTCCAAGGATGCTAAGTTTACTGTCAGATCACAATTACTTGATGGGTTCTAACGAGTTCCTAGATTGCTTTCACTAGAAATAAAATTGGAAGGTGAAAATGGCTCCAAGAATTGCTTGACAATCTTATGAAGAGAGGCAGAACGTGGTAAACAAATGTTTTCTTTGCACAAGGAGAGTGAATCCTCAAGCCTTGCTCATGGCTTCGGACTTGAGAGAAAGGAAGAGAGAAAAGCAGAGAAAGAAAAGAGAAATCTTGAGGTAATTTGTTTATTTATTCCATGATCTTTATTCATAAATGGAAGACCTATTTATAGACAAGAAATGGAGGGGAAAAAGAATGGCAACAGGAGGCGGTGAGATTATTGAAGAAGCCAAACATGAGCTTGATCTTGGAATAATCTTTCAATGGCAAGCCAAGTGTCTTTAGCAGTGAGAGAGACATTGGGTTTAAGAAGACATTGGAGGATGTCAAAAGAGGCAGTTGCTTGAGTTCATGTAAGTACTGGAACATCAACCTGCTTCCATAAAACAGCATCTAGGTTTGGCACCTGTCTTCAGTTCTCGAGTAGAGTTTCAACCGGACATAATCGGTCTTGTCAATGTGGCTGAGAGTACTGTAGCCTTCAAAAACTGGTTTGACGAGAGATTTCCAAACTAAATAATTAGTAAAATCAAGTTGTTCACTAACATAACTCTTAATGTTGGAAACACCAAAAGAAGGATGAGAAACACGAGAAAGTGTAAGGAAAGAGGAGGGACAAGAATCACCTAACAGTGGACGAAAAAGAGAGACTCATGTTGCTTGGTCAAACCTTTTTTTTTTTGAGGAGATTGATCAAAAGGTACATAATAAAAAACATTGATTGTTGTATAAACAGTGGTGTGGTGTGGACCAAAGTATATATGACAATAAATATAAAAATCAGTGGGCCTGCTTTATGTACAGTCACGGAGAAAGAAGGCTATTTTGCAGGAGAAAGAATCACTTATTGAGAGAGTTTGAGTTGTAGGTGGTGAAGGAGAGAGAGAGACAAGGCAGCCGTTTTGCAGTGGAAAAACAGAGACGCAGATGAAACTTTGCTGTAGAGAGAGAACGGAGTCCTGTGCTTGATCAAAATTGGCAGACAGTAGACAGAACTGACAGTCTGGTAAAGGCTTTGTGACTGAGGAGAGAGACAGCGACTGAGAAGAGAAATTAACAATCTTGATGCAAGAGATAAATTTCACCTGAGGGGAGAGTGGAAAATTGCAATTTTGGTTTGCCTGGCCGAGGAGAAAAATTGCGCCTGAAGAGAATATAGAAGGGGGTTGCCCACAGAAGGTGCAGGCGCTTTGTTGAGATCGGGCTATTGAGAGCTGCAGAGGAGAAAAATTGCACCTGAAGAGAGAGATAGAAGAGGGGTTCACACAGAGGTGCAGAGGTACTATTGTTGGCCTGGCGAGAGAGAAAGTTTGGGAGATTGGGTTGCTGAGAACTACCGTAGACGCACTGTTGAGACATGCAGAAGGAGCAGAGACGAAGTGGAATTTTTTCTTTTTAATTGTAAACCAGTCAAGTTAACGAAAAAACTCAGAATAAATTATGCAGAGTATGCTCTGATACCAGGAACAGATGTAATTATTGAAAGGGTTATCTTATTCATCACATGAACATGCTATTTATAATGTTACAAGATGTAGTTCTAATCTAACTAACCTTAGGTTCTAGAATCCTAATGATACAAAAACAATGCTATGTGAGAGATATATACAAATTACAATACAATTTAAATATATGACATATTTATCCCTTTATCTCTTTACCAGTCAAATGAGAAAATTCTTCTGCCTCATCCCCCATGCCATTTCCTGGCATCGGGAGAAACAGTAGAGCTTTTGAAATAAATCCTAACCTTTTGCTGGCATCCGAAATAATTGGCTTAAAATACTTTATGTTTTGCTGATCTGTTTAACCTATTCTCTTTGAGAAAGTTGCAACTATTCTCCATCTACATTATCCTTTTTTCTCACGATAATAAATTATATGCGACATAAACACATGGCGTGTGATTCCATATTCTATTGTTTCTTAAACAAACTCTTCCAGATGGGTAATCTTTTGTCTGATAGCTGGAATTTAATATTATAATATATTGTGGGGCTAAGTCTGCTAATAGATTTTATCTACCATGTGAAAAATTTGAGGTGTGAAGGTACAGTTTGTTAAAAAAAAAGTAAAGTTTGTAAGCATAAAGGCATTGTGGTTTAAGTTTTGTACCACTACATTTCTCTACGTGCCAGTTTCGAATGCACAGTGACAGTGTTCTGAAGGTTACATATCCTGTATTGCAGTTTCATTGTTTCATTTTCAAATAATGCTCCTGATCCAGAAAGAGACGGTGCTGCAGTGCAGGAGTTCCTTGCCAATATGGAGGCTGCATTTAGAGCTCATCCACTTTGGGCTGGTTGCTCAGAAGAGGAGCTGGAGAGTGCTGGTGAAGTGAGTTATGAAACATCTCTCTCCTTCCGTAACTCTTAATGCATGTGTTGTTTACAAGCACTCAAGTGCATTTTTCTTCTCTCTTTATTTATATCTTAACAGGTGAATGCATCTGGCTGCATATGCCTGTGTCTTCACCTATTTGTGTATGTGCATCCACCCAAGTAAGACATGGGTGATATTGACTTATATTGAATGCTGGATCATGAATGTATGAAACATCTTAATAAGGAACACTTAAATTTAAGCTAATAGTATTTCTTCCAAAATTATTTTTTCTGAATAGTAAAAATAACTTCTTTTTTTTTTAAAAGAGATAAAAGATAGCTGTCCAGTTGTAAAATTTTAGGAAACTGGATATGACTAACAGCTAGTTGCTAGCATTACTAACATATTAGGTACGACTAAGAGTTGTGAATTTTAGCATAATTTAGCACTTTCTTATGCTCAAGCATACTACTGTCACCTTTTCAGGATCTATAACATGGAGCGAGTTTAATGTAGAGAAGATATGAAGAGTCAGTGCAGCTGTATGAATAGATTAGCAAAATACCCATAGGTGAAGAATGGAGTTAAGGAAAATAAGGATATCGAGCTCTACTATATTATTACAAAAAGATACTAGTGGCTATAAAGCTAATATATTATTGGCAAAACTTCCTCCATGACATATACATCTTTCCACTTTTTTGTTAGAAACACATAACAGCAAATAGAGAAACTGTTCACAGAATTTGCCAAGCAACTTCTATATATATGATATGCAGCTTTATTAGATAGCATTGAGGAATGTCAAATATACTAACAGTTTATAGGCAAAGATATTTTGTTTTGAGAGATACGGCACCAAAAAGGCTGTCACCCACGTACAAGATATTTACATTTGAGTTAGAAGATCAACGATCTTCCCAAAATCTTCCCATCCATATAAATCGTGTCCTAGAATTAGAGACCCAAAAACATATATCTACCTATCTTTAATTCCTACCATTTCTCTTACACACCCTTCAAACGCTCTATTGTTTCTCTCTTTGCACACCACCCAAAGTTTATAGACAAAGATATGTGGATCTTTTTTCAGATCTCATAAAAAAATTGTATTACTAGTTTAAAGAAACCTATTTTTTGGAGATTGGAGGAGACAAGTATAGTTACATGGCAGCATAGGGCTAATTCCGCCAAAAACAAGCCAACATCAAACCACATTACATATTTGTACTACCTAATATAATAAGTATCAAGTGGCTTTGGCAGAATTAACCGTGTGGCATGTTGCGCTTGACTTGAAACTAGTGTCAAGTTATGAAATAATAATGTGATACACAATGATAAATAACCAGAATCAGGAAAAGTTTTTCTTTCTTCGTGGATCAAAGGTGTGGTTATGCACATTCTTTCGGGCCCAAGTCTACCTAGATTCTACTTTGGTTGGGCAGCATAAATTTTCATGTCCTAGAATAAGCTCAATGACAACAGAACTCTCTTATTGTTCAAAGAATTTTAGTTTCTGATTTTTGGTGTAATACAATCAGGAAATATCAAGTTTGATCATCCTGTAGACTTTGAGATTTTGAGTTTGGCTGATATTTTCTTGATTCTGTTCATGTACTGTTTATGGATTGTAAGAACATTTAATATCAGTATTCTGTTAGAAAAAACTTAATCCCTTATAATACGAAACTTTTCTCCAATATTATTTTGTTAGTTTCCAACCCATGAAGTACTAGTAAATGGTTTGCTGAAAATCAATGGGCTTTCTTTGATACAGGGACTCGAAAAGTATGTCATGACAAAGTTATTTGCACGGGTATTTGCTTCACTTCCAGATGATGCGAAATATGATGAGAAACTTTCTGAGAAGATGGCATTGATTCAACAGTTTGTTCGGCCTGAAAATCTGGATATTAAGCCCATCTTTCAAAATGAAACTTCGTGGCTGGTAAGGAGGGATGTTCACATGTCAATCAATTTTCCATGTTATCCAACTGATAGTACACCCTTCAGATCTTTGTTTAATGGAGTGGCACTCAAGGGTCCAATATGCTGATATGAAACTGGCTGCTTGATCTTCTTCTGGATGAGACAATTTTTTGTTGTATTCTTTCTTGCTGTGGGAGTGGGATCCAGCACCTCTACTTTTTTTCCCCTACGTAGTCTATTGTTGTATTCAGAAACTAACTGTACCTTGACTGTGGCTTTTGTTCATGTCACATGAATTATCATCTACGCATGTTTTATATGTTGGATATCATAGATGTAGCAATACTTGTGCTTCCGCATCTTGATATGTTTCTATAGAAAGAGAAAGATCTGAGCTCTTAGATATCTACTCTGATGCCTTATATCTTTAACACAGAACTTCACCTCATATTTCCCTCCTTTGGGGAAATATCATTTTTTTTCCTTTCCGTTACTAACTCAAGTTCAGCATCATTTTCACACGATACTCAACTACTTGACTGTTGAATTTGTACTTTAATTTCATAAGTTTGACATCTTCTTGAAATATGTATTTTTTTGTCAGTTATGATAGTTTTATTTTATATTGAGAATTTTTGAACATATTTGTTGTAATGTTGCATACTTTAGTTGTGTTGTTAGCAGCATTGTTGACTGATTATTCTAATACTTATTTGTTAAAACGGAGCAGGAGATAGGTTGTTTTTCATTATTATTTTAAAGGAAAGAATAGAGCAGTAAATAGTATTCTGTGTTTCTCAAGGAAAATGAAGGAAAATAATGCTTGGTTCAAGCCACGATAATAAGGTGTTTAGTGTTCATCCTTGTTTGTCTTTATTCAATATCCTCTTACCTTGTTATCTTTCCTTTCACATTGGCAGCTAGCACAAAAAGAGCTGCAGAAGATAAATATGTATAAAGCTCCAAGGGACAAGCTTGTTTGTATCCTCAATTGTTGCAAGGTGATAAGTAACTTGTTGCTTAATGTTTCAATCTCTTCAAATGAGAATCCTCCTGGAGCTGATGAATTTCTTCCTGTCCTGATTTATGTTACTATAAAGGTAAGGTTTCTATTTTATGCATAACTGCTTGATTTAATTGTATAGTTGTTGATATATGTTACTATGAAGGTAAGGTTTATATTTTATGCATAGATGCTTGATTGACTTGTATAGTTGTTTCATCCTTTTGGTGCCATTTCTTACTGGTACATATTTGACATAGAAACTATAATCCTTGTAACTAAAGGAACATTTGTGTATTTGTACTCGCTGTAAATTTTTGTCTTGTTAGCTTGAAGTTCTTGGCATGGAAAAATATTAAAATCTGGCATGTTATGATAACTGCAGAACTTATTTATTATCATGGTAGAATTTTCTTAAAGAAATGGACACCTTCTATTTTGAAATAGTTATGTCCTTCAGTTGTTCAAGCTTGTATGAAAAAAAATCGCCATCGTTATGCACCATATGACTAGCTACTACTAAAACTCGATTGATTTGCTGCTAATGGATTTTGTATGCACATCTATAAAATTTCTGTAGTCTAGACCATTTAGATATTCTAAAAAATTTCTTTTTTATGACAATATGCAGGCAAACCCTCCACAATTGCACTCAAATTTGTTGTACATACAACGGTATAGGCGTCAATCTAGATTAGTTGCAGAAGCAGCTTATTTTTTTACAAATATGCTCTCAGCAGAGTCTTTCATCTCTAACATTGATGCTCAGGCTCTTTCAATGGATGAAATAGAGTTTGAAAAGAACATGGAATTTGCTCGAGCTCTTCTGGGTAGCGTTTCAACTGATGTGGATGGCCTATCTAAGCAAACCGATGAAAGCATGGGGCGCGTTCCTGGAGAGGAATATAGGGCAGTGAAACATCAAGTTTTAAACACCAAAAAGGATCCTGTTTTACAATCAAAATCATCTGAAATGCTTTCTGGAAATAAGGAAGCAACTTATGACAAGGATCAGTTGTCGGTGACAAAAATCCCATCCCTCTCAGATTTAGAAAATAAAGGGGCGTCCATGCTTTTGAAGGAGGAGCAGGCAAGCAAAGTCTTCCAGGAGTATCCTTACTTGTTTGCCAGTGTTGGTGATCTTACCATCAGTGATGTAGAAGGCCTTCTAAATGATTATAAACAACTTGTTTTAAAATATGTTTGTCTTTCCAAAGGCTTGGGTGATGCTACTCCATCTCTCCCTTTTTCCAGTTCATCATCGGATGTCCAAGATCAGATTGAAAGTTCCAAGAAGCCTAAAGATCATAAAGCAGCAAACCTAAATATTGATACACAACAGGTTACTGATAAGACAGATGAAAGTTCAGATAAGTTTCCGCAATTCGATGAAGCAAATAATAGTGATTTGAAGCAGTTGCAGACTGAAGATGACACTTCTCAGTAATAGCTGTGTGAAGATGCTATTTGTAGGAGAGCACGTTGAGCTTTTTGAAGTGATGAATGATAGCTGTCACAGTTTTTTACCTTTGAATGGAGATCCCTTTGTTTATTTTCGAGATAATGAAATAGCGGAAGGAAATGGGGAGTACAGGGGTTGTATTGTAATCCATCAATTATTATTCCAATGAACATGCAATTTCATTTGCCACTCAGAAACACTCAGCAGATCATACTACGATTGTTTATGCATGCATTTGAGTAGACGTGTTTTCCACTCACTAATTTCTCAGAAGATGGGAGTATGTATAAACATTGGTGGAATACATTCTTGATTCACGGTTTGTCAAGAGGCAGGTATGTTTTTATTTTGAATTCTTTTCTTTTCTTTCTTCCTGATCATTTCTCCTTTACAAAGAATCTACATAAATGCAGGCTGTATTGATGTACAATACTGGTATAGCTAAATGTAACCTCTTCATTTTGTGTTTTCTTTATGTTGTTATTTGGCTCCTAGGAGACTTGAGCAACCTGCAGATATGGCAGCCCATAAAATTTCCTAAGTCTGATGTGAAATAACTGTCACGTTCTTATTTCAAATACAACAGTGATAATTACACCCAAAATAATTACTACATTGATAATACATTGACAACTTTGCTTTGTCCCTTTTGTTGACAAGTTGCTCCGAGATGAAATTGAACTCTGGATGTCGGTATTGGAAATTTCTAGCCCTATGGCATCCTAATTTATTTTGATATTTGAAATTTAGTTAGATACGGGGGTAAGTTACAATGAGTTGAATGGATGTTATATGACTAGATAAGCTTACCATTAGAATGTCCAAGCCGTGTAGGATCAAGCATTTTATTGTGTTCTTGTCACATCTATGATTATCAGGGCACCTCAAATTCGAAGCTAAAGCTTGCTGTGGTGGGTAATTCCAAGGTGCCAGAGGCACTATGCTTCAGAGACACTTGTGCATTAGTTTTTACTATTTCATAGTGATTCATTGACATGCAGCAATCAGTTGGTATTATGTATTCGTTACTGTATTATTGCGTAACCTTATTAAATTACTGCATAATATTTACTGATTACTATAACTGGTTCCAAGTTGCTGTTAAATGTTAAAACTGCAGCGGTTTGCTGAAGGCAGCATACTTACTGGGTTCTGGTCGGGGTTTTTTTTTTTTATGGTCTTCATTATGAGACACCAGAAGCCATTAAGGATGCAATTGGCATTCAGAAGGAGCAGAATTAACCTTTTAATTTGTGGCTACTCAAGTGTGGAATGTCAATTAGTGCAAGATTACATTCTGCTTCTGGGTGCAAGGGTCTGTGGTGCCTAGGAGGCACCTTACCTCTTAAGTAATCTTCTAATATTTTACGATGGTAAAAAAAATTTATATAATAATCGCCATACAATAATTTAGTTCTTATGTCTGCTGATTACCATATAAACCTTTCAGGGTTACTGTAAAATATTAAAAATTATCACGCCTCAGGGGCATCATGGTGAATGTTAGATGTATGTTGGTGCTTGTAAGGGGGTAGATGGCCAATGCCAAATGAGTACTTAACGCATTTTACCATATTATATATATATTTAGGAAAAACCTATTGTTGTTTACTGTATCAATTTGTCTTACATTTTTGTTTGTGAATATGAGCTGACCTGGAAAACATTTTTTTTTTATAATAAATATTACACCTCATCTGGTAAGGACATGCAGATCCTATATCTGAATTATTGAAGGAAGCTTCAAAAAGTGCGCAGAAAAAATCAAGAAGTCTGTGCTATTCTGCCATATAGACTTGTTATTACTACTGCTTGGGGTTTAACCATGTCCTTCGTTTTAGAAAGGTGCAAGTGTGAGTAGGTTTTCAAATAGCCGTAGAAAGTATGAGTTTTTTAATATGTGATAATTTGATTTGATGACTGAGAGAAGCCACACACCTGGATAAATCCTTCCCTTGATTCCAGTGCGTTTTGTTTTTTGGTACTTAGCTGTCAATAACACACAGACCATATCTAATTGCTTGAGATCGATGTGGATTCTCTTTTTATTTATCATTATTTTTTTTTTTTAAAAAAAGCACTTAATCATCTCATCTCATCTTTAAAAAAAAAAATAAATTAAATAATCTCGTCTAGATGGAGTGGTCGTATTAGGCCAACGGTATCCACTCGTGCCTACCACATGCTACCATGTATTATGCTGTCCGCTGAGTTACATATGGCACACACGTCTCTTATTTTGGACAGTTCGTTATCCCGCACGTGCCGCACGTGTTCTGTTCCCCATTTGGGGCTGCTTCCCCAAATTTCTCAATTACTGCCATTGAAAATTGGGTCCATGGTGATTAACGTGCTACCGTACATAATGACTAGTGATCCGGTTGGGACTGATCACTTTTACTCCGAAGTGGGCCCACCGTCGATTATGGAAGGGACCATTGGGCTTTGGGCCCACACAAGTTAGGCGGGTTTTCGTCCGTTGACAATTTGATTGAAGTTTGACTGAGCACCCAACTCCTTTGCTTCCAGTTAAATCCATTAAATTTTTTAGCAGTAAAAAGGTAAAAGCTTTTTCGACTTTTCTAAATCAAGGCAAGAGTTTCTGCGGATTGATTACGGACATAGATAAAAAAAAAAAAAAAAAAAAAAGCTTTTAATTTAATCACACTGAGGAATATTATTAAATTTTAAAATTAAATTACCTAATTGTCAGAATCCCCATATAACTCTACAAGTAAAATTTATCAGACAAATCTTAAAATTAAAAATTATTTTTTAAGACTCTTCACAACAACAAGACTAATTCAAATTAATATATTATATTGTGTTTTTCGAGGTTTGTATTTTACTTACCTTATTTAAATAGAATAAAGACAAGTTTAGATATTAAAACAAATAATTAATTAAGATATAGATAATGAAATGCGGATTAATTTTGTACGAGTGACAAAGAAACATAATAATTGAGACCTCAAGAATTTGATTAGTTCTTGGGTAAACGTGGTCCGTTCGCTAATGTTTATTCATCATCGTTTGACTCCCTTAATTAATTTTTTACTAATCTAAACTTAATTACTGCACCAAACCAATTTGTAAATTATCTACAGTTACGTGTACCGTAATTTAGATTTAAAAAAAAATATATGAATATTGAATAATTCGAAAGGGGAAGGAGAAAGTCAACCCTGTGATTTACTACCATTGTCTTGTATACTTGGCAGATCACTATTGGTTGTTTTATTTTTCTTGGGTACACGTGGACCATCCATAATTATATTTAGCTTATAAATTTAGACTCAACCTACAATAATTAGTATTACCATTTTAGCCAGAGACTATCCTACTCTTTTTGCAGGCTCAACACAATCTACTCCACTAAAATAATGCCTCCATGCACGCCTGTCATATGTATCTGACTTACATATATACATACATACATGCTTAAAAGTTTAAAGAGAGACAAATATGTATTTTCCATTTCTGTAAATTCACCCACCAAACCCCCAAAAAATAAATAAATAAATAAACAAGAGTATTTGAATTCAAGCTGTAGATATTATTCATTAGAGGACTGTGTAATCTGGTCGTGTAGAAACAGTATGGTATGCTAATTTTGACTAAACCTATAATTTTTTAATCTTTATTTTCACTTGGATTTAAAAAATCATGAAAAGTCTGATAAATCATGTATGGTCTACCTACCTAATAAATGCTCTTTCTTTTGGAAAAACAAAAAAAAAAAACCTGAATAGTCTTTTAAGAACTAATAAATCTCAAAAACCAAATAAAAGGGGAAAAAAGATAAGTGGTCTCAAGAAAGGAACTTTTGTGCTATTCGCTTACTTTTCATTTCTTAAATTCTAAGCTGGACTTGATTAATTATTAAGATCAGGAATAGGTATTTAGTTGTGTCCAAACACGGTCTTCAAATTGACTATCTCAACTTTCTTCTCAAAAAAACCAAACACTCCCCTCTTCAACACACACCCACACACATAAAAAGCTCTTATAATCAGATTCAATACTCTCTTTCTCTCTCTACTCACTCTCTCATTTATATATAGCTCCGTTCTGCATATCGAGGAAGATCAAGAAGCTGTATACATATATGTATTAATGGCAAATGGGTACAAGCAGAAATACAATGCCCACCACCAAAACCTTCATTTCCATCACAAGACTACGTTCTTGCCGTTGCTGTGTTCAAGACCTTCCATCAAAGATGTCACAATCCCTAAACTGGAAGACCCTTTGTCCCCCAAGATCAGTTGCA